ATACAATAATAAATTAATCAGTGTACTGTTTAGAATTAGTAAAATACAAAGTTTTATTTGCCGACGTATTTTATATTATTGATTTAAATATAAACATTCATCGAGACTTTGCATCATAATTTTCAGCATCAAAATACAAAAGAAAATACGAGAAAAACAAATACAAAATAGAACAAAGGGTACCAGATGGATATTTACAACATGAATTTATTACACATACAGATACATTTTATGCACATGTATCGGTTACATAATCACTCAATTCGAATAATAAACATCGACTAGAAGATGCACAGTAACTAATATTGTTAACCATGCGATAATCTCAACAGAGTATGAATCAATAACGACAACTCTTATTATTATTTTTAAACATTCACTATACATTGAATGAGAACAATTTAAATTGCTTGAAAACGGTGTTTTTCATACTGAATGATCAAATATATATATATTAAATATAATGTTTATTTGTTTATTGGATTTATTAAAATGACGAAAATACAAGAACACAAGAACAATATTACATAACAATAGCATCAGCTTCAATCTCAACACGCATATCAGGATGAACAAGAGCATTGACTTGAACAAGTGTTGCAGCTACTCGAATGCCGCAAGAATAAAAAGTTTCTTTGAATGCTCGACAAACTTCATCTTGATCGGCTATATCAGTACTATAGAAATAAAAGAAAATATTCAATGATTGAAAATACATGTGTAGACTACGAACATAAACATTCGTATACGAACAATATCTGTAAGTTGAGCTCCTATGGTTAACAATGCATCAGTAATACGTTCAAAGATGATTACTGCTTGATGATATGTACTTTCAGGCTAAAACATATCATTTAGTTATTTTTATCAAGTTATTGAAGTTGATCTTACATAAAGAACTCCTTTTGTGATATCACTAGCTGTTGTACCAGCTATGATGACAAAGGGTCCACGTCGAACAGCACGTGTGTGACCACATGATTCCTCCCATGGATTATTAGTTCGTAATTCAAGACGACCTGGTAGCGTTTCAACAATAGTACCAGCGTTCAATCGTTTAGATTTAATTTCGTCGGTTTCAGAATGGATAGTCTAAGATACAATAAATGTTATTTTGACTAGTTACCAAATAATTAATTTATCAAATTTTCATTTGTAGTTCAATCTCTCTTACCTTCACAGCTTCAGTTTGTTTCTCTTCCTCTGTCATTCTATTATTTATAATCCGCACAATCAGAAAATTCTATATGAATATTATTTGTCTTTTTTTTTTCGCGTCTGTTATTCTCTTTAAAATGAATTTATATTCTGTATAATAAATGATAAAGAAGTGAAAGAAAGAAAACGGTCTACAACTACTCTCATGTCTCTCATCAAGTCAGCTAGGATGATAAGTCTTTAGAAACAATCAGTTATAAAAGTATGTTGAATATTTATATAAGAAACGACGCAGTTGTTTTTTTATTCATGCTTTTTTTCTCTTTTTCGAATCTGTCCGCAATAACAGTAATGCAATAAAAATAGAGACAAAGAATGTTGTTGCCTATACTCGTAGTCTTCATATATCTACCTTCATTAAGGGGGGGGGGGGTCCAATCTCTTCAACATACCCTAAAACTTTATCAGTTTGTAGAGACTATCTTCAATAGTATACCTGTGCAATACAAAAAAAAAAGATTCATCAAATATTGACTCAACTATTAATTAATCAAGTTTTAAATTAATTCAAATTTTGAGGTTGAGCTTCATTTTTCTTTTAAACTTTCTTGTTTTAAATACAAATGTTATTTTCAGTTGATTCTGGTATAGTTTTGTAGAAAATCATTTATGAATACAATTTCATACAAAAACAAGTTTAACAATGACTTCTCTGAGTATCTTTTAATCATTAATTATTGCTGATTAATAATACTGCAGTGGACAAGAGTAAATTTTTCCAACTTTAAAACAAATGAAAAGGAATTGTTCAACATATCATTCGATAGAACTTGAAAAGTTCTATCAATTGCTCAACAAATTTCTTTTGAAAAGATCTATTGTCGAAAAAAACCAAGTTCGATACCATAGACAATATGCTACAAAATGGGTATGATATTCGGAATCAACATCAAAGCTGTGAGTTGGATAATATAATTTTTATGCAAAAAAAATATTATCCGACTCAGTTCTTATGTTGATTCCGAATATCATATCCATTTTGTAGCATGTTGTCTATGGTATTGAACTTGTTTTATTTTCGACAATGGAAGTTTTCAAGCTCTATCGAATGATATATTACACGATTTCTTTCCATTAATTTTAATATTAGGAAAATTTACTTTTGTCCTGAAAATAACATTTGTATTAAAAACTAGAAAATTTTAAAAAAGATGGATCTTGACCTCAAAATTTCGATTAATTTAAAGCTTGATTAATTAATAACTGAGTCAATATTTGATGAATCTTTTTTTTTTGTATTGCACAGGTATACTACTGAAGATAGTCTCTACAAACTGATAAAGTTTGAAGGTATGTTAGGGAGAACACCTCCTTAAATGTAACAACTTCTTGTAATGGGATCATTCATCGATCAACTGATGGTAATTCTTATGCATTTCTCTCTCCATCAATAACAGAAAATCCTGTATCATTCATTGAATAAATGATACCAACTGGTACTTTAGATGTAGCTTTGTTTACAGGTAGTGAAGATTTATCAAATTGTTCTATTACAAAGTTACTTTTAGAAATTGAATCACAACAATTTATTTCAGGTGTTATTATAAGTGAATGTTTTAATTGTTCAAATCAAAATCCAATTCTTTCCTCGGAGAATGAAATATAAATATTACATATATATTATTCATCAAAATAAGGTAATACAGGTGAAATGAATTCCTAAATATGACATATACAAAGCAAACACCGACATAAATATATTCTACAAAGCTATTTCTTTTTTGTGAATAAATCTTTTGAATCTATCCTATACCAAACCAGGTGTCTTTGATCATAATCGTATTATTTCTATATTAAGTAATGATAGATGTATATTTTCATGTTATAACTTCTCACCGAATATTGAGTGTTCATTCATACTTCGATCATTTTCAGCTGCATTCGAATGAACTCGTATCAATATAACTGAAACTGTTGATCTTATTCAACCGACAATAATTCTTTGGCATATGCTTCACAATTGTGACCGTTTATTCCCAATGTAATGCAGACATTGAGGCATATGCATGAAGAGTTGGAGCTTTAATTATGGCAGCTAATAATCATAATTATACATATCAATCATGATTACCATTGACTATTACAGTTTCTTATGATAATGGAATAACAGGGCCATATCAAGGAAATATTCAGATTCGTGATGATGATAATAGTACGGTACAAACCGGAGAATATTTATATACATCATTATTACAAAGCTTTTGAAGTAGAAGTGATGATAATGATATTCATTTAGTATACATATATGATAGACAAATAATAAAATATGTTTGATTTAATGAAAAATGGATTAAACAAAGACAAAAATTTATGAACATTGAACTAGACAGGAATTTGATTTTTTATATGAGAAAATAAAAGCGTTAAATACTTTTCGAGGCAGTCTTGAAAAGTAATTATTACTTTTTCTAACAGTTTTCAGTACCAATTAACATGAAGAAATTAACTTATTTTGTGTTGATCATTTTTGTGAGACTACTATAATAATAAAGACAATTGGATTATATCACAAAACACTGGAATTCCTTAGGTCATTAGCGTTATTTACTTTACTCAAATTATTTTATATATTATATTGTTTTTATCAATGGTACTATCAACTTGGAAAAAAGTGCAAACATATACTTGACAAAAAAATATATTGGCCAAAAAAGTAAACTATGCTTAATTTTATTCAAAATCTCCATCTTTTTCATGTTAAAAAATATGCAGAAAACCAATGATGAAAGATGCATTAAGTGTACTACATAGTTTGTTGATGAAGTCTAGCACATCATTACTCTGTTTTTAACATTCTGCCAAGTAATTTAAATGGAGATATACTAATTATAGTATGTGACACTTTAATACTATGTACTTATAGTATAGTTGTTTGTGACATTTGCTTTTTTTTCATCGAAATTTTTTTAAACGCATGTAAAAAAGAAACTCATTTAAGTTCAAATTATTATAGTAACATTGAAACATATTAGTGTATTCAGATCTATTCCTTTTTCGTTCTATTCTATAGTTCTACACTATCAGTGTTTTAATCTGATTAAAGACTTCTTAATGATACTTTGACGATGACTCGATATTTGCCTGCTTTGATATTGTTTTCAATTTTCAAAATTTCTCTGTATCATCAAGCGAGAATAAAATTTTGGATGATGATTTACACTGTTTCCAAACGTTTGCGAGGAAGTACCTTGGTTTCAATTGTAAATGCACTTTTATAGTGGATGAGAACTTGATCGAACAGTTTCATTTGAAAAAAAGCTGTTAGCACAATCCCTGAGAGATTAAGACGTAAAACACGATGTAGCTGCTCTTGGTATTCACAGGGAAATTGTTTTAATCTATCTGTTTTGCAACATCTTTCTAAACCATTCTTTTATTGATTCCTCCAGAATTGAAATCAGCAAGTAGTTCACATCTTATGATAACAGACTATTGATGTTCGGCCTTTGATCATATATCAACAACATCTCACACAGTCGTTGGTGGGCTCCCAAGATGTTTGTCACGGTCTGTGATGGAATCCATGAATTACTAATTAATTATTCATCAAGAGATGAATTATTTACTTAATTAGTTATTATCTGTTAATTAATTAATTAATT